TTATGAATTTTGAAGAGCTATACAATCATTACCAGAAGGAAAACTGCCTAATTTTGTTGTTGAAAAAAACAATAGGCATTTTCCACTGATTTATGCCCAGAGGGAAAAAATTTTTTATCTCTGTTACAAATATCATGACTAAAATAGGTCTCTCAGCTACTAAATATGGTAGCCTGAGTTGAGGCATTACCATAGTTAACACATAAGCAAAGATATAATGACCTGTCATGTAAAGTATTTTGAAAATAGTTTGCATCCCTCACATATGTGACTTTATCTCAGGACAATCTAAGCTATCATCAATTCATGGCTGGAAAAATCAAGTAGTTCTTCTTCCCTTTCTGCCCTCAGGTTTTTCACTTCGATGTAAATCAATACCAAATTCCAGACAGTCAAGAATTACTTGAATTCATACTGACCTAGTCACTCTCATAAAAACAACTGGGCTACAAGTGGTTGATCCACAAAAGGAGTAAAACAAGTCCAATATAAATAAATGATCTGAAAGCATTTGTGACGCAACACAACATGTGCCAACTTATGTAATGGAAAAATTAGTATATGCATTTACTAAGAAATAAAAAGAAAGATCTTGAACTCTTGTAATTTGAATCAAAAAGGGACCATTCCCATCACGGTCATCATTAGTAAAAGGAACTGGGCTGATCTAGTTTCTTCCTATTCAGGAGCACGCTGACCAATTGTACCACCCTAATTAAGACCAGCCTGCAACACAGGGGACCCTCTAAATAGGTTAATGTCACACTCTGCATTTACCCTGAAACCTCTGTGGGATTCAACAACAAAACAGGAAACAAGCTACATAACAAAAGACTGTTATCATCACTCATTATGACTTGACGTTATCATTATTCATTTTGACTTGATTTTGTAAGAAGGATATTTTTAAAATACATTATCATAAAACATTCCATAATGAGGTAGCATTTCCTGGGCAGGAGACATGAAAGTATCTGTGTACTTTTACACTTTAATTTCCTGAATTAGAAATGACAGTAGAAATTGTCTTTACAAGACTGTCACATGGACTAAATGAAAAATGACAAAAGAAAATGCATAATTATGCCATTCTACAGGCTTTTTTTCAGCTCAGATCTCCCTTTATAGATGCTTAATATAACACCATCTTTCTTGAACATGAGAATGGAAATGGGTGGCCATAAAATGGAACGAGATAATTAAGTGAGGCTAAAGTTGAGCACTGCTTATCTTGTCTTGAAATCAACACCACAACCAATAGGTTAACTCCTACACAACAGATTATGTTTTCAATTCATTATATTTAGAGTATCATGACGCCACGCAAAGTATGTAGAGTAACTGGAAAGTGTGAAATTTGGCCATTGTAAAAGACTTGAATAAATCAAGACAATTCAGGTTCTTCTGCAGTCTCTGGAGGCTTGTGGGATAGAAATCAAGGAACAGCTGATGTTGGGATTTCGGCCCTGTGTCCATTTTGCACACCTTTCTCTTCAACCAGGTAAATTCAACTTTCCTGCAGCAAGTACCGTGTCATGTATGAGCTGTGCGAAGGCACACGTCAAATAGATCATCTAGAGTTTGGCTAGAGAGAGTAAAAAAAACAGTAATGAAGAAAGGCAGATTATTAACTGGGTTGAATGGTAGCTTTGATAGGAAGTTGAGATCTGGGCTGAAGAAATGAAGGACCATCAATAAATGTAGCATTTTTGAAAGTAGAAAATGCACCTTCCAATACACTGAGAAATGCCAAATAGCATATTAACAGAGGAGGTGAAAGGAAGTGTGTCATTATTTTAGCAAATTCATCCGCAGAAAGATTGCTCTTCTTCATGCAGCTTATCACATCAACTGTATATATCAGGTTCACAGAATGTGACTTTTCTTTTACTGAGATCGAATATTGTTTCAGAGTACCTAAAGTTGTTTCAAGAGCTGCACGCATTTAAAAGTGAACTTGAGCCCATGTACCCATAAATGTACCTCATTCCCACAGTGAGGGTCTAATTTTCCCCAGACAATTTGATGAGCATTAGAGTGTTTTCTTAGACTTGCGATTCCTAAGACCTCATACATCTTATCTTGCTGGAAAAACATGCTGAACAGCAATTCACACCTCAAATATGGACATTATGCTCGGTTATCAAGATTCCTTTGTTAGGAGCAGTAGCCCAAATTCAATTTGAAAATAGTATCTTAACGATGAATCTTTTAAAAAATCTGTGGAAACAAAAATGTTGAGAAGACTACAATAATCTTTCTCCGGTATTTTAATGTCTCAAACTTATATTGCCATTAAGACCTGTTGTTGGAAGTCTGAGTGTTATCCTTAGCTTATACAGAGGAAATAATATTTAATGCATCATTTTTACATAGATAGGATGCACACATTTATATTTCCATCCAAAGTCATTTCCCTCCTCTTAACTAAGAATAGTAGACTTGTTGCTCCTGAATTGAGACAAATTAGCTCTCATAATAACTCTTCATTCCAAATCTTTTTAGGTCTGATTTCAGAACAGTTTAGTTCCAAATCAAAAGGAACAGGACACAGCAATGAAATATCCAGGAGCTTGGGCTAATTAAATGAATACATCAGTACGTAAGCCAGGACATTATTCCTTCATCATCAGTGGAAAGGTGTCAGCTGGAGTACTGTGTCCAATACTCAGCACCATATATTTGGAAGGATGTTGATGCCTTGGAGATGGTGTAAATGGGATATACTGGAATGGTACCATCAATTAATGACTTTGATGATAAGGAGACAGTAGAAAACCTGAGACTGTTACATCGGGGGGGATAAGGAGAGTGTTTGAAATGATAATGAGTTTTGATAGAATAGGGAGGAAAAGTTGTTTACACCTGATGCAGGAATAATAATCGGAAACATAGATTTATGCTGGCTGGTGAAAATAATAAGGAAACTTTTATGGATTGGATTGTTATAATCTAAAATGCATTGATTGAAAGGATGGTGGAAGAAAATCAATAAGAAGTTGAAAAATGAAATTAAAAACACATTGAAAATAAACATTTTATGGATTTGTGCAAATGGAGGGGAATAGAGCTAATCGGTTAGCTCTTCAAGGAGCTAGCAAGAACGTGTCAGTCTAAAAGGCCTCTTTGCAGTGTGGTTTGATGAAAATAGCAAACTGCTCCATTGATAAACTCAATGTTTAATTGCAAATTTACAATAATATGAAAATTTGTTTCTAGCTCAATGGCAATGTATTGCTGCAGCTTAATGGAGCATCTTTAAGAATCAAGAAAGCTGAAGGTGGTTCACCAGAGGTTTGAAGAAAGAGGGGAATAGAGTTTATACATGGACGGGTAGTGTAAAGCGTGTCTGAAGAGATTGCCTGTAAAGAATTTTAAAAGTAGAGGAAGGTAGAAAGATTTAGGAAGTAAATTCAAAAATGTGGGAATAGGTGGCCAAAGACACAGCTGAAGAAACATAAATGGATTAAAAATGTGAAGACTACCCAAGAAGCCGGATTCAGGTACAGAGAAAGTTTGCAGTGAAGTTAAGGCTGGAGAACATGATGGTGTTAGAATGACAGACAAGGTCAGGGAGACATTTAAAAACAGAACATCTATTATTTTTGAAATACTGATGGTAATGTGGAGGTCATAGACCTATAGGGCAAGATATAGGCCACAGGATTGTGAATGAATTGGAATTTACAGTCAATAAAGAATTGATGTCCAGCCTGGAAAATGTTGGAATAATCAATTCTGTGACAAAAAAGTCATGCCCGAGGGTTCAAGTGGTAGATGGGCTAAGGCAGGTTTAGTGGGTGGAGGTGACTAATATTACAGGGATGATAAGTAACTGATCTTTGTGATCAAAGGATAAGGCATCTGAAGACCAGCCCAGGTTTGAACAGGATGCTGAGACTGCAGTCAGACTAATTGAGCCTGAAATATTGGCTGGGGAGGGGATTGAGCAAAAGCAAAGATTGTGCTCCAAGCCAAAGGTGATGGCTTTAAACTTCCTAATATTTGGCTGGAGGAAGCAAAAAGGTCTCAGACTCTATGCTTGTGATATAGTCTGACAGCACAGAGGGAATGGAAGGTTCAAACAAGATAATGCATTCCAGCGACAATCAGAAAGTATGCAATTCTGACCTTGTACCATGGAGCAATGTGAGAGAACAAAGCAAAATTGTGGGTGGGATGTTGGGGAAGTGACAGATATGCTCTATCCGAATATGTTCAGAACCGTTCATTGCAATATTTTTTGTTGATGACGTTGCATTGTATATGTCAGTAACACAAACGTGTCGTGTATTTCTGCAGGAAATTATTATTTATCATGAAGTCGTGCAAATTAATTAGAACTGAATTTCTGTTTCAATACTGTTGTTTAGGAAAGTGATAGCTCTTTGAATAGTAAGTGAGAAAAGCCACATTCAGTTCAAATCCTATCATGCTTATTTATTTATCATCATTCACCTAATATTTGGCTTAGATCAAATCCAGGAGACAAAAAGATTGGATGATGTATCCAATAATATACTTCAACAATGACAATCAAGTTAAAAGATATACATTGGATTTGAAAAGTAAAATGGTTCCCTTTAAAGTAGGGAAAGTACCTCTGTTCAATCAACAGTTAAAAATGTTGTTTTACTTCTGAAAAAACAACATACCAAATCTAACCAAACCTAATGTTTGTAACACACTGAGGCTGAAAGTGACACTAATCAACAGGGGAAAAAATAACGTCACTTGGGAAATGGAACAAGACCTGCCCAATTTTCTACTTCTATCTTACTGTACACAATGAAATCCAATTCAAAAAGCTGCAGGAATCAGATACCAATCTTTTCTATCCAGAGGCTTCAATAATTAAACAGTAGTAGGTTCCCGAATATTGTTGTCTCGATCCTTTGATGGGAACACCCTAAACATTCTGCAAATCAAAGAAAAATGCTGACAACATATTGTGTGTTTTATATATATATATTATATATAGAAAATTACCAGAGGAAAGGTCACAATCAAGGTATGTCTTTTATTATGAAAATTCAATTAAAACAACTTTACTTCTAGTCTAACAAAATATCTGATTAGTTTTTTCCAATAGTGAATACACAGCTTTTGTGTCATACAAAAGTTGCTGTAATCGAGTAATTAGATTTCAACTCACAAATGAGTTTTCTTTTCATGTTACCTTCATTTAATCTAAATTCTGGCCCCAAATTTGCCCTCAGAACAATGGTGAGCCAAGAAGCTTTCACCGATACTTATGCTCAAACATAAATGCAACTTTAGGTGAGGGCGGGCATAGAATTCAAGACAAAAATCCAGCAGTTGCCATTCAGGTTACATCATTCCATCATTACTTTTACTAAAACAATATCTTACTGTCTGCCTAATCATTGAACAGCATGTACTATAGATGCAAACGCACCCCCTCCCCCACAGTTAAACCTTATCCATTTCAGTCCCTGTACCATGTCATTGTTTTTACTAATTCACAGGATTTGGTTTTCACTGGCAATGTCGGCATTTATTGTCCCAAATCTAATTGCTCTTGTAAAGGGGCACTGAGCTGCCTTCTTGCACCACTGCAATTTATGTGGTGAGGGTGCTCTCACAGTGCTATTAGGTGGGGTGTTTTAGGATACTGACTCAATGATGATGAAGATACAGTGATATACTTCCAAGTCAGGATGGTGTGTGACTTGGAGAGGAACATGGAGGTGATGGTGTTCCCATATTTCTTCTGCCCTCAATCTTCTAGATGGTAGAGATTGCAGGTTTGAGAGATGCTGTCGAAGAAATCACATGGAATGTATTAATTCTTTCTGGCACTGAAAATTAAATATTACAAATATTTCTTCAGGTCTTAATTGTGGATATTTTAAACCCATTTCATGTAAACTGCATTTTAAGTCCTTTTTTGTCTTTCTTTTCTCCCTCTCTTGATCCAATCAATTTTGTATTTGTTTATTTCTTTCTGTATCTGATCTGACGTTGAAATCAGCCATTCTAGTTGATACTTCCTTTTCAAATCTTCAGTATTACTTTCACAATTCTTAACCTGCTTGGTTCACACAGGTCCCAGGTGCCCTGCTTTCCTTGCTGTGATGTGACAAACTTGCACAGTCAACAACTTGTACCTACAATTTTAAAAAAGACTATAGCCCATTTTATCTTTGCAGAGATATACAGAGAAATGCAAATTCAAATTTTTTGAATACTGTGTGAATTGTGGTAGAGTTTTAGGTAAATTTGGCCTCCTTACAATGTTTATCCACTTTCAGCATCCTACTTTGTCTTTTTTTACTCTGTTGTATATCAAAAAGAATCCTACCACCCCTATACTTAATCACCTGTAGTCTCCAATCTCTTGTCTTTTATGCCAAGACTTGTTATGACCTTCTATTGTACGGTGTTACCTCTCTCGTTTCTACTACGCTATCATTGCAACAATAAAAAAAATTATTGTTATGTTGATGTCTCCAGCTTATTATTATCAGGTCTTTGCAACTGAGCAATCTCCTTTGCTCTCACAGTCATCCCTTTTTCGGATAATCTAAATCATTCATAACAATTTACCATAACCTATTTCATCAACTAGTCTTTTAAAAAACAAACTATTTGAATTATGAATAGCTTGTTTTCCATTCAGTTACTGTCATGTTTAGAAAAGAAAACACAATCAGGCTATTAATTATGTCACTAATAATGATTAGAGTCTAAATGAAACGAAATTTTTCCAACTGAATTCTTAACCTTTTGCTTCACTTATTGGTAAAAAAATCTAACACAGAAACTATAATCACATGAAAAGGGAATGATGAGTGTTCCTATTATTGATTGATTGATTAGATTTTGAAAAGTGTGAGTGAAAATTTGTTACCATTCCCACAGTGCAGGTAAAGGCCACGCTGTAAGCATTCCAGCATTTCATGCGTTATCTTTTTAGTTTAAAATATGTACCTTCTTGATTCCTCGGAGGTATTTTTTCACTTGGTGACTTGGTGACCTAAAAGATTGCCATTGAGTAATTTCATTACTTGGACATTCCAGTCAAACATGAGCCTGTTGTCACCTCAGGTCCATCAAAGAGAATTTTCCAGAAGGAAACGGGAACCATGGCTGAAGTATCCATCTCTTTTCTCTCAAATGTTAACCAATCTGCTGTGCATTTCCTGCTTTCTCCAGATTTGTTTCAGATGTCAGATATTTTTGTGTTTTTTTTATCTGAACAATTACATTTCTCACTTGCCCCAGCATATTTCATGCGTCACAACTTGGTCATCACGCTGTTTGATAGAACAGGTAATGAAACTTTTCCTTTCAGAAGAGTTTAAGCAGACCTGACCAAAGAGGTATACAGAACACAAGGGGCTCACAGCTGCCAATTCTCCCATTGTCATATAATTTGTCCCACGTTCATGGGTTCAAAGCACCAACAAAATTGAATTTCCAGCTGGCTTATAATAATAAAAACAGAAGCCCAATATAGTATACTCCCAGATCGCTTCCTTTTCTTGCCCCTCTCCAAACAGGGAATGTCCTGGGAATACAACTGTTACTCTTGGCAATGACAAATACTTGCATCACATTTTAGGCAACTTCAAACTGAGCAAGGCAGCATAGTGTATTGCACAAGATAAAATTTAATGCAAGCTAATTTTATGGAAATTAATTTTGCTTTTGCGTTTTCTTAATCCGTGTAAATATATATGAAAATGCCAGATTAAAGAGGTAGTAGGAACTGCAGATGCTGGAGAATCCGAGACAACAAGGTGCAGGGCTGGATGAACACAGCAGGCCAAGCAGCATCATAGGAGCAGAGAGGCTGACGTTTCGGGCCTAGACCCTTCATAAAGAGGAAGGATTGCTCTGAGCATGTTATAACTATATTACAAATGTGTTTAGACAGATTTCCTCCCTTCAGTACTATTATTACCATTTCAACTGCGAAATCCCATTCTGAGATCTCAGCAGCAGTGCTGGGATCAAATAACTCCCATGTTATTTGGTCTGATCTAGCATGGGCCAATTCAGTCACCTGGATCACTTCCTGTGAAATGTCTTCCTATCGGTATTTCCAGCAACACTGCAAATGTGCACAAACCTGAGCTTACCAGTTTATGAGAAAAACCATTAGAAGTAATCAATGGCTACACAGGTGTCACGGAAAACTCCACCATACAAAACGTAACCACAATTCTGATGCCTATAACCTGCTCCTCACTTGTTCAGTCTCTAACTCGATCTTGGTCTGCAAAACCCTCTGTGATCACATCCTTTCCCCACTCTGTGACTGTGTGTCTCTACGTGCTGACTGCTCTTCAAACCCTGACCTCCTTTATATCCCTTCGAATTAGTACTTCACTAAAATACCATGATGTCACTCTCCTACATGATCTCCATAAACTAGTTACTTCTTTCTGCTTTTCGAAGTGTCTGGCGAAGATTTACCTCTTCAACTTTGGCTTTGGTCTCTTCCCCTAATTCTTCCCTAACCTTTGTTCGGTGCCTTTTCTCATGTAAGATGTTCTGGGTCATTTAATTAAGTGAATGGTCTGAAAGCACATCAAGTTGCAAGTTAATTCATCAACATAACAAACTACAAGCAATTATTTTAAATGAGTGAAGAAAACCATTTCATATGAGTGTTGAAATGTGTAATTGCTGCTGAACATCACAACCTCACTATTTGATTCGAGAGAAAAGTTGGTTGGGCAGAATCTAACAGCATCAACCGCATCTTAATGCTGGAAAGCAGTCATTGTAGTTGAGTAACACAATAATAGTTCTGAAGAAAACTCATATCGGACTTGAAACATTAACTCTGTTTCACTCTTGACAGATGCTACTAGTCATGCTGTGTTTCCACAGCACTTTCTGTTTGTATTTCAGATGTCCAACATTCACAGGATTTTACAGAATGTTAAATATAATGATATCTACATTTACGCTTTAGCTTTCATTTGAAATGTTTGTTTCTCATTTTTTTCTATATAAACAAGTTTAAAAATACTAAACATAAGAAATATTGTTGAGGCTATTAACCTCAGTGTCATTCTGCTGTGGAACCAGCACATCGAGACGTGGTAGCAGTGTGCTGATCACTTCTGTGAAATATCTACCCGTTTGTTACAGGTCCATATTTCAAAATAACAGCTTAGTGATGTCATCATGGGATTCTAGCACCTACTGAACATAAGAAAACAAGGGAGTGCTTTTGTGCAGATCACTTGTTATCCGCTTCACAAATAAATAGCTACCACTGCAGCCATTCATTTTTGCCTACCCTCGTTCTCTCACACCCACCTGCAGATCATTGCCTATCACTCAAGCATAACATCTGCATGGGAAATTTGAATAGTTAAGAGTAAATTTACGAGGCCTAACATGGAATTTTGCTTGAAGGCCAGCTCGAGCCGTACCACAATCGCGAGATCCTTGTGTCACTCGCTTGTTCTGAACACAGTTCCCAACTGAGATTTCAGGTCCAGTGCATTTACGCTGTCAATTCATCAAATGACACGACACAACGTGTAACTTCAACACGTTCCTTATGAAGCCCATGTAACCTCTCCGTATTAATGCGACATGGACAGGTGTTGTCTCGTACGTATGGCTTTCAACTTTTAAAATGAGGAAATGCCCCAAATATTTGTAGAAATCCTTGAAACAGGGGAAGTGGCTACGCAACTCAAGTCTGACACCGGTCCACGATTCACGCCCTCTGGAGTCGCTATGAGAGACCACTCCGCTGTATCGGAGAAGTTTGGATATACAGCAAAAACAGCCTGGGCAGGGTTACCAACATCCCAGAAAATCATTTCCTTTTCAAAATAACTTCAATATGTTTTTAATTTAACCTCCAGAATACAGCTTTAGCAAGGGGGATATTAATCCGAAACTTTGGTCAGTTTGAGCACAACGATATATTCTTAAGCAGAAAATGGGTATTTTTATACGTAAATATACAGATATCTATTTAGATTGTGCAACCTTTGTTATGTAAATATATGTACAAGAATGACGAGATATAAATATCTCCAGGCTATCTTTCCTACCCGATGTTGTTTGTTTTCATTTCAGCTTTCCAAAATAGAAGAGTTTAATTTCTGAACGCACGTTTAAGTGACAGATACAGGCATTTTATTGTGTGTGATTTAGTTGGACCTGCGGCTTTTCGGGAGCTGTGTGTGACTGCGTCTTCTACACAGATTTGCCAAACTGTGAATAGTTGCTGGAAATCCCAATCACGAGCAAACATGTTTCAATGTTTAAAAACATAGCGTTATTTGAACAAGGATATTGAAAAAGATTGATCAGGCTCATAGGAAAAGCGAGCTTCAAGCTGGAACTAAATGAGTCGGGAGTGCAACTTGACGGTGGATCTCACTCCAGAGATTACTAGACACTGAACTGTCCCTGTCTTCATGCATAAATTACCAATTGTAAACTTGCTAATATTTGCATGCACCTTCTCTGCAGCCGTAACATTGTACTCATCGTTCTGTTTTATAAACCTTATAAAATTTTGTATGCTTTGATCTGCCTGCACTGCACGCAAAACGAAACTTTTCACTGTACCCAAGTACATGTGACGATAATAATTCAATCTTCTTTTAAAAATTGACAAACATACACGTGCATATAAGGTGGCAGATTAGGTATGTGGTAAATAATAAAACTGCTCAGTAAAGTGTACGTGCTCCAACTTGGCACCTTTACATGGGACAGGCAAAACAAACACCATTCCAGTCACCCCACAGTCCACTGAACCCCACCGGGTCAGTGGGAATTGGGGGTGGGGACGTCAGAACGGACCTGTACTGTCTTTTCTACTTTTAAGAATGGGAACATAATGAAGCTGGACTTTAAACCCATTTTTGGCTGTTGTCAAATGTGCAGGAGTCAGCAAAGGGCGTTCTGTAGAAAGTGTTACAAAGGAAACAACCTGCAGATTGCTTATATTCATTACTCAAAGCGATTTTTAAAATCAGCTGCTTTTAATTCATGGTCAGAAAGCGCCCCAAAAGCGTTCTTGCTGCTAGTTAACTTTGTTCTGGATTCCTACATATAAAAAAGCAGGGGGTGGTATTTCTGTAGTTCTTTTGAAGAGAAAGTAAACACAAATTGGGTTTAAATCTCCCAAGGGGAGTCTTCGTATTGAACGCCGGCATTGTGGCCCGTTGCCTCTGAGACACATTAGCCAGTCTTCGTTATCAATTAGAGAGACTGAATGAGTCGGATATAGGTTTGAGGGGCACCCTGTACAAGCGCTGATTCAGGGAGCGAACCCACGCCGTGGTTATCACTCTTTGTCACACTCGGAACCATCGGAGCTAAGCGGCCCCAACACATTCACTTACAATCGTCCTATCACTCATGTCGGCGTTATAACGTGTTGTAACTTGCACTGAACAAGTCGTCTTTAAAGGTAACTGCGGAGTTTGGTCTTCTTGGCATAAAACAGAACAAAACATTAACCACCTGCTGTCCAAGCCACTGAAAGCATTAGCCGTTATCGAATAGAAAAGGATAGCAAACTAAAAAGTCACAATCCCTCCTCAGTGTGAGAAAGTTTCGTTTTCTCTCTCTCTCTGTGAACACCAAAACTAGTCCTGACCAGTAAAAAAAATCCGCCACAACGACTCGAAATCAGTTTTATTGAAACGTTTACAAATAATGTTGGAAGCGGGACTGTCCAGTCTCTGAGAACATACGAATTTCGTCAGGAATGCGCTGAGGACACAAGTCAGTCTTTACAGCCTTTCAATTCATAACGCAAAATCTAACAGCAACTGTCAAATAAGTAAAGGCCTATTGGCTAAACAAAAGTTGCCTTGTACATATAGTATAACTCAGTAAACATCAACAGCACACCAGCGTTATCAGAAATACGTTGACATATTGTGCTCCTCCTGGTTTATATCTATTTGGAATAGATTGGCACGACTCAAACTCCGGTAACACAGCTCCCCAATATGAGTCTTCCCAACCCAGATTACTGATGGCGAAGCTCCTTCAAATGCATAAGATTGTCAGGTAACCTCTCATTTTGATTGTTCCAATTTCTGTTTTAAATTGTATCTTCAAACCGTTGTGATATGCTTACTAAATGGGGTATAGTCAACAACATTATAAGACGAGGATCATTCGATATAGGAGCAGAATTAGGCCATTCTGCCCATCGAGTCTGGTCCGCCATTCGATCACGGCAGGTATGTTTCTGGTTCCCATTCTTCCTTCAGTAATCCTTGATCCCCTTACTATCTATCGCTGTCTTAAATACACTCAATGACTCAGCCTCCACAACCTTCGGTGACAATGAGTTCCACAGATTCACCACCCTCTAGCTGAAGAAATTCCTCCTCATCTCAGTTCTAAAAGGTTTTCTCTTTAGGCCTATCCCCTGAGGTTGTGCCCTGGGGTTCTAGTCTCTTCTACTCCTGAAAATATCTTCTCCCCGTCCATTCTATCCAGGCCTCTCAATATTCTGTAAGTTTCAATAAGCATCCCCCCAAGTCCCCACCCACCCCACCCCCATCCTTATAAACTCCATGAAGTAAAGACCCAGAATCATCAACTGCTCCTCATATGACAAGCCCTTCATCCCCAGGATGATTCTTGTAAATCTCTTCTGGAGCCCCTCAACCACCAGCACATCCTTCCCTAGGTATGGGGAGTAAAACTGCTCACAATATTCCAAACGCAGTCTGACCAGAGCCTTGTACAGCTTCAGTAGTACATCTCTACTCTTGTATTCTAGCCCTCTTGAATGCTAACATTGCATTTGCCTCCCCAACTACCAACTGGGCTTGCATGGTCTGGGTTAAGGCCAATCTTAAAACAAAACAGCCATCCCAAACAGAGAATCTCATTCCCGATTCCACCCTCACGACGAAGTAGTAATTCTAGAGAGGCAAACTCCTTAATTAAGAGTACCATATCCGACGTTCTGCTTACGTCTAACTTCAATTGACATTTAACCTGTTTCTGATTCTAACCCAGTCTCAGGACAGACCCTGCTTTTCACCCAAACCCTGATGGTAAAGTTGCTGTTGAAATCGCTCAAGTATTAACAGTGGTTTGCCGCACCTTGACAATGTGAGTCCTTTCTAGCTCAGGGACGCCATTTCGCTCAGCAAAACTACCCAGAGCCACCAACTCCAACAAATTGTCCCAATGTCATTCCTTAGGCGCAACCAGCAGCTCTCTCCAAATGCCCAGGACACGAGTGAGGGTTGGGAGGAGGGGGTGTTGGATGCATCCTAAACACCCTTTGTTTTGGATGTCTGTGTTTTTGCTTTTATCCAATGTTGAACCTTCAGTGGATGTGGGCTGTACAGAGGCTTGTCTGATGCTTCTGTCGTTCAGGGCCCGTTGTCACACACAATCCCAGCTGACCTCTAGCCATTTGGAGATGAATGCAATAGCCATTTGCAGGCTGACTAGTTTCTGAAGGTATTATTCTCCTTGCAAATAACAACACACCGTTGTATCATACAAGTCCTGCTGTACAATTCCGTGTTCTGTCGAAATGCAAAGGCTCTCTCGAAAGAGAGGGAGGGGAAATGTCGGTTTTTTAGTGCAGCCGCAAATGTACCATAGCAGTCGGGAGCAAAAGCTTTATAACCTCAATAAAATTGCTGTTTGGTACGAGTTATCCATCGGGGAGATGACACGCCCGACCACAGAGTTGCCATCTCTAGTTTGTCGGCCAGGCCTCGCCTGCCTGTTGCTGATACACTGAGCAGCAGTGGCAATGTAAACAGGTGAAGGAGAACATTGATCGATCAATAGGTCACTATTTAAACAGCGCCGGCCCACCCGCTCGGTTTGAGCTGAGGTTTGAGCCAACTTTTCCCTTCTGGGTTTTGCCTTTGGGGAAGGCTTTGAGGGACGTATTGCCAACATTGCTGGCCCTCAGAGCCAGGTCTGTCTATAGGCAGGTAGCAGCTGATGGCCTCCGAGAGACAGGCAGCTGTCAACAACTTCAGAACGCAGCCCAAGCGCCCCAATCAAAAACAATCACAAGGCGAACGGTTTATTATTGATTATTTAGTCTATTCCCGTCTCCTGTCAGCGTACGTCTGTATGTCGGAGGTGTGGAGTCCAGTCCCTCAAGAACTTTTTAATGATATGAACAAAATCAGCCCGCACCTTATCAGAAATAAATTATTGCTAACTTCATCAGAACAAATGCAATCTCATTTCTTACCTTTTCTTCTCCTTCTCTGCTGTCATGGTTTGGACGATTAAGTTCACAGAAGCAAAACAAAAACAGACCGAGAAGCGCAGTTGACAACCGGAGCTCAACTTTACAATGTAATATGGATGGAAAGAATCATAATTTGATTTTTTCTTTTCTTCCTGATTTGTTTTCACTTTCTCTGCCTTACTCACGAAGTTGTTTTTTTCTTCTTTCTCCTTGCTTTATCAGTCTCTCTCTCTCTCTTTTCTCTTCATGTGGGTTTCTTTTTTAAATGCCTAGTTGGATCAAACAGTTGAGATCATGAAGCAACCCGGAAACGAGAGGCGACCGTACAGTCTCAGAACACTGCTGAGGATTGTACAGCCACTTCGAGGCAAAGACCAATTATAAAGAGGACAGGCAGGAGAAAAAGTTTCGCTCTTAGTCTCTCGCACTGGGGCGGGAGGTTCAAGCTTCGGCTGAAGGCGGGGTTTCTCTCTCTCTCTCTCTCTTGTCCTTCTTGGGCCAGATGACAGGTCGTAAATGGATTTTCGACATGCGATAGGTTGCGGCCGGACCCCGCCCCGCCCATCGAACTGGGTCATTTGGGGCTTTTTTTCTCTCTCTGCCGGCACAATTGGGAGCGGACAGGGCAGGAGCACCAATCCTAGTTACATCATTTTTTTTTCACAAGTTCTTATCTGTTAAAGATTTCTTTGCGAAGAAATACTAGTGACGAAATTGTCTGGCTTCACGTAAACTAGATAAGGGAATTAAAAAAATTCCCAAACAACATGGTCTTCGCATGGATTCCAGTTGCTTCTTCAACTCATGAGGATCTCACTCAATTTGATAACGTTTTTAAAACACACTAGTAAAAGAGAACTCCCTAGACATTTCCCATCGGTGCTACTTAAAAATGTCACCAGAGCAGAATAAGCATTTAAATACTATATAATTGAAGATTGGTTACAGCACAGTGGGGAGCCATTCGGCCCGTGGATTCCGTGCTAGCCCTCTGTCAAACCTACTCCACCAGCCCCACTTTCCCACTGCCCCTGCATTGCTTCCTTCTCCTCAGCTGCTTATCTAATTCCCCAACGAAATCTGTCCCCACCACATTTCCCGACGTGCATTCCAGATCCTCACCGATTGGCGAATTAAAAATTATTGCCCTCACGTCACGTTGGACCTTATTGTCATTTGTGTTAAATCAGTGTCCTCTGATTTTTGATCCTTCCTGGCCACTAATTTGGATTCACTTATGATTTTCAGCATTTCTATCAAATCTGCTCTCAATCTTTTGTCCAAGGAGATCAACCCAACTTCTCCAAACACAAAGCTGAAAGACGTTATTCCCAGCACCATTAATGTGAAAGCGGTGGCGTTGGAATTGATAAACATGTCTGGTAGTCTTCAAACTAAACATGTTAAAGGAAATAGGCTGGGCCTGTGGAACTTGACAATTTACAATTCATCTTCATACTTCGGTTTTCATTTCAGCAAAATTCAACCTGGTTTATTCTACTGCACTGAATATTTCCTACACCAGAGAGAGGCTTATCAAATATTTGAAACAAAAACAGAAGTTGCTGGAAAAGCTCAGCAGATCTCGCAGCATCTGCGCAGAGAAAATCAGGGTTAACGTTTCGGGTCCGATGACGCTTGCTCAGAATCGGACCCGAAACATTAACGCTGATTTTCTCTGCACAGGTGCTGCCGGACCAGCTGAGCTTTTCCAGCAACTTCTGTTCTTGTTTCTGATTTACAGCATCTGCACTTCTTTCGGTTTTTATTTCCCAAAACTTTGCTCTGAGATACGTTTGAAATATTTTGAGAAAGTATTCTGCGTTGGAATTGTTTTCCACTCAGGTTCAAAGCACTTGCAGTCCGAGACCTATTTACAAAGGTCCACTCTCGCTTGGCATTTTTTTGTGAGCAAAGACTGCATTCGTTGGATACAAGTTCGCTGGTGGCGTCAGTCTCATCTGTGATCAGCAGATTCTCCCACACAGATGCAAATAAATGTGTAGTCACTGTTGGGGACAATTGGATCTATTCTTTATCTCTTTCCTGCTAATCCTACACTAGTTCCAAAGGTGTCTGTAGCATTCCTGATGAAGCAAATCTAGGCATCACAATCTATGGCCCACTCCACCCACTAGCAATAATCAGTGTGATAAATAGATTGTGACTTCCCCATGCAGTACTTGAAATGGTTGTATGTAGGCCCTTCTGTTCCTGCTACAGTGGATAGCTTTCTGTACAACATAATTTTATGCCAGCAATTGTTGTCCATCCAGGCAACGTGACCAATGCAAAGTTGGTTTTGCAGAAGGATAGCCTCAATTCTGGTGATGCTGGCTGTCTCGAGGATTTCAATGTTTCTGATGCAGTCCTGCTAAGGAATCTGAGGATATCATGAAGGCAACACTGGTGGGAGTGCTCTGGAAGATGTACATGTTGGCTGTATAGGACACTTGACCAAGTGCCTTACGGAGGAAGTGAGGACTGCGGATTGGTACATTTTCAGTTCGGTCTGTTCTCTAAGGTTGTGGGTGCTCCACAGACAGCTACTAAATTGCATCAGAACAAAGGGCATTAAGTATAACAGTTAAAGATGTACTGAGTCTCCCTGAAAGGGTATATATATTTGAATGAGGATCTGTATTGTAACTGTTGAATGATCTGATGTAATATTGAAGTTCCGGGAAAAATGTTCTAGTAAACAGTTAAGAGCCGGGAAATCCCTTCATATATCATGGGAATTTTAATAATATAAATCTTGATTTAACATCTACTAATAGCTTCTAGGACAAAGTTATGGCTGCAGTTATACTGCTATTTTTGGATGAGCGACTGAGAATTATTTTCCAAGTTGCAATAAGTTGAAGATTTAGTTCAATTATAGGATTCCACAATATGTATAGTGGAAAGAAAACTAGTGCCGGGAATTAAAGGATTCCCAGGAAATGTTTCATAGAGTTTAGGTGGAGAGAAGAACATTAAAGGAATTAACTGTACCACGATGAAGTTAGGCCTTTAAAAGCATTGATTGCAAGGTTACAATTGCTTCCTGCATGTTGAGCAAAAGTTTATTTCTTCATTTAAATGCATGTATTTGTGAATAACATCCAGACATTCATGGCCTAAATACATTCAGGGATTGGGAAACATTTGTATTCCTTGGATCATCAGATCTCACTGTAGCATGTGTCTCAGTGTAACAAGCTGAAGCAAGCCAAGGACCCAATCATTTCTCAGACGCAGAGACCAGAGTTTAGTGCTGAAAACAAGTCAGGTTTATTCACTTAGATAACAAGGTATAGAGCTGGATGAACACAGCAGGCCAAGCAGCATCAGCGGAGCAGGAAAGCTGACATTTCGGGTTGAGACCCTTCTTCAGAAATGGGGGAGGGGAAGGGGATTCTGAAATAAATAGGGAGAGAGGGGGAGGCGGATGGAAGATGGATAAAGGAGAAGATAGGTGGAGAGGAGACAGACAGGTCAAAGAGGCGGGGATGGAGCCAGTAAAGGTGAATGTAAGTGGGGAGTTAGGGAGGGGATAGGTCAGTCCAGGGAGGACGGACAGGTCAAGGAGGCGGGTGAGATTAGTGGGTAGGAGATGGGGGTGGGGCTTGAGGTGGGAGGAGGGGGTAGGTGGGAGGAAGGACAGGTTAGGGAGGCGGGGACGAGCTGGGCTGGTTTTGGGATGCAGTAGGGCGAGGGGAGATTTTGAAGCTTGTGAAGTCCACATTGATACCCTTGGGCTGCAGGGTTCCCAAGCGAAATATGAGTTGCTGTTCCTGCAGCTTTCAGGTGGCGTCATTGTGGCACTGCAGGAGGCCCAGGATGGACATGCCATCCAAGGAGTGGGAGGGGGAGTTGAAATGGTTTGCCACTGGGAGGTGCAGTTGTTTAGTGCGAACCGAGCATAGGTGTTCCGCAAAGCGGTCCCCAAGCCTCCACTTGGTTTCCCCAATGTAGAGGAGGCCACAACGGGAACAGCAGATGCAGTATACCACATTAGCAGATGTGCAGGTGAACATTTGTTTGATGTGGAAAGTCTTCTTGGGGCCTGGGTTGGGGGTGAGGGGAGAGGTGTAGGGGCAGGTGTAGCACTTCCTGCAGTTGCAGGGAAAAGTGCCGGGTGTGGTGGGCCTGAAGCGGAGTGTGGAGCGAACAAGGGAGTCACGGAGAGAGTGGTCCCTCCGGAAAGCAGATAAGGGTGGGGAGGGAAAAATGTCTTTGGTGGTGGGGTCAGATTGCAGATGGCGGAAGTGTCGGAGGGTGATGCGTTGGATTCGGATGTTGGTGGGCTGGTACATGAGGATGAGGGGGATTCTGTTTTGGTTGTTATTGTGGGTGGGGGGTGTGAGGGATGAGTTGCGGGAAATGCGAGAGACACAGTTGAGGGCATTTTCGACCACTGTGGAGGGGAAGTTGCGGTCCTTGAAAAACGAGGACATCTGGGATGTCCGGGAGTAGAATGCCTCATTTCGGGAGCAGCTGCAGCGGAGGCGAAGGAATTGGGAATGGGGATGGCCTTTTTGCAGGAACATGGGTAAGAGGAGGTGCATTCCAGGTAGCTGTGGGAGTCGGTAGGCTTGAAATGGATATCGGTTTCCAGGTGGATGCCAGAGATGGAGACAGAGAGGTCCAGGAAGGAGAGAGAGGTATCAGAGATGGTCCAGGTGAACTTAAGATTGGGGTGGAAGGCGTTAGTGAAGTGCATGAACTGTTCGAGCTCCTCGTGGGAGCACGAGGCGGTGCCAATACAGTCATCAATGTAACGGAGGAAGAGGTGGGGGATAGGGCCAGTGTAGCTACGAAAGAGGGATTGTTCCACGTAACCTACAAAGAGGCAGGCATAGCTTGGGCCCATGCGGGTACCCATGGCCACCCCTTTTGTGTGTAGGAATTGGGAGGAATTGAAGGAGAAGTTGTTAAGGGTGAGGACGAGTTCAACTAAGCGGATGAGGGTGTCAGTGGAGGGGGACTGGTCGGGCCCAAGCTATCCCAAACTCATCCCTACCCACAATAACAACCAAAACAGAATCCCCTTCATCCTCACGTACCACCCCACCAACCTCCGAATCCAACGCGCCATCCTCCGACACTTCCGCCATCTGCAATCTGACCCCACCACCAAAGACATTTTTCCCTCCCCACCCTTATCTGCTTTCCGGAGGGACCACTCTCTCTGTGACTCCCTTGTTCGCTCCACACTCCGCTCTAGCCCCACCGCACCCGGCACTTTTCCCTTCAACCGCAGGAAGTGCTACACCTGCCCCTACACCTCCCCCCTCACCACCAACCCAGACCCCAAGAAGACTTTCCACATCAAACAGATGTTCACCTGCACATCTGCTAATGTGGTATACTGCATCCGCTGTTCCCATTGTGGCCTCCTCTACATTGGGGAAACCAAGTGGAGGCTTGGGGACCGCTTTGCAGAACACCTACGCTCAGTTCGCACTAAACAACTGCACCTCCCAGTGGCAAACCATTTCAACTCCCCCTCCCACTCCTTGGACGACATGTCCATCCTGGGCCTCCTGCAGGGCCACAATGACGCCACCCGAAAGCTGCAGGAACAGCATCTCATATTTCGCTTGGGAACCCTGCAGCCCAAGGGTATCGATGTGGACTTCACAGCTTCAAAATCTCCCCTCCCCCTACTGCATCCCAAAACCAGCCCAGCTCGTCCCCACCTCCCTAACCATTCCTCCCACCTCAAGCTCCACCCCCATCTCCTACCAACTAACCTCAATTCCGCCTCCTTGACCTGTCCGTCCTCCCTGGACTGACCTATTCCCTTCCTAACTCCCCACCTACATTCACCCTTACTGGCTCCAGCCCTGCCTCTTTGACCCAGCAGGTAACCACACACCACAATGGAAAGTCTAGTGTTGTGGTCTCCTATGGCAGTCCTGTGAGAAGAGGATACTTTTCCTCTGCACTACCCATCCACCTGGATCCCCGGTCCCTGCCAAGAGTGGGGAACCAATTTCCCCTCATCTGCCATGGGGTAAATGTCATGAACTATGCAGGACAGCTCTGGAGAGCCAATGCTTATTTGAGTGCACATGCAAT